GTTTAAAAAAAAAAAAAAAAAAAAAAAAGAAGAAGAAGAAGAAGAGGGAAGTGGGTCTCGCTGCCTTCAGCATACCTGGGTTCTCTCCTTGGATGTTTCCCATCTGAATTAAATTTGAATGGTCAGTTCCTTCTCTATGCCAACCATAAGAGGGAGAAGCTGCCTATAAGATGGTTATAATAGGGGGGCTGGGATTGTGGCTCAGTGGTAGAGCGCTCACCTTGCATGCACAGGGTCCTGGGTTCAATCCTCAGCACCACATAAAAATGAATGGAATAAAGGTATTGTGTCTAACTACAACTGAAAAAAAATAAATATTTTTTTAAAAATGGTTATTATAGGCTTGGAGTGCCATGAAGAAAGAGAAAGCAAATTATAGTCAGTATACATTGAATTTTTGCGAGGGCAGGTTACTGGCATTAGAACCAAGGTGTACCATTGAACTACATCCCCACCCTTTTTTCTTTTTTTTTAAATTTTTAAATTTTTATTACAGGGTCTCACCAACTTGCTTAGGGCCTTGCTAAATTGCTGAGGCTGGCCTTGAACTTGGGATCTTCCTGTTTTAGCCTCCTGAGCAAGTAGGATTACAGGTTGAATTTTAATGACACTATCATTTCTAAATACTTAAGGCACATTTGTGGGCACATGCTGATCCCTGGGATGAATATTATTACCCCTATTTAGTAAATGTGCAGAAACAGAGGTCCTAGAAAGTTCCTGGTTAATGATCTGCCCAGTGTCTCAATAGCCAGTGCTATTAGAGAAATTAGAACTGAAATCAAAGTTGGAGAGCTCTTCAGAAATTTGCTCTTGAACCCTGTTTCTCCACTAAACACAGCTCTCCTCTACCCCCAAGTTGTTGGCAACTTGGGTTGCCAATAGATGTCTCTTGGGGCCTGAAGCCGAGTGGATCCAGGTTGCCTTGACTCCTGAATAAATTTGCCTCCAAGCTTCTTGCAGAACAATCTCGTCATTTACCTCAGAGAAAACAAAAACACATGGGCCACCAAGCTTTGCTTGTACACACCTAAGTTGTTAAGTGGTTACCTAAACTAAATTCTGAAGGAAGGACAAAGAAGAAGAATAAAACACATCTTTACATCCCTAAAAGTATTTAATGTAATTTATCTCAGCATGTACTTAGTCACTTTTTTTTTTTTTTAAATTTTCTCACCTGATTCATTCTCCCTTCACAAGTAAAGAAACACTTTAACACTTTGAGAGGTTGAAATGTTTTATCAGAGGCATTCATTGACAGGGAACTCGTGCAATCCTAGGTATAAAACTATCACATTGTTGGTCTTGTGGGACTCTTCCCAAGCAAAATGTTGCTGGTAACTATTAAAAATGAAGGAAGAAAAGGGCTGAGTAAACAAAGATAAACCTTTTCTGTTAGAAATGCCTTTTGATCTGGGCACAGCAGCCAGGGGCAGTAGCACATGCTTGATTCCAGTGACTTGGGAGGCTGAGGCAGGAGGAATGCAAATCCAAGGCCAGCCTCAGCAACTTCGCAAGACTCTGTCTCAAACTCATGTTTTTTACTGTAGAGGTTTTTTTTTTGTTTGTTTAATATATATATATTTTAGTTGTAGATGGACACACAATGTCATTATTTGTTTTTATGTGGTGCTGAGGATCGAACCCAGTGTTTCACACATGCAAGGCAAGCTCTTTACCACTGAGCTACAGCCCCAGCCCATGTTTGTTTTATTAATTAGTACATTATAGTTATACATAATAGTGGGGTTCATTTTGACACTCATAAATGCATATAACAGTCAAAGTTTTTTAAAGGTCTGGGGATACATCTCAATCCAGTAGAACATTTGCCTAGTAAGCTTCAGGCCTTGGGTTCAACTCTCAGCACCAAAACCTCAAGATGTACTTGGGGCCACAGAGTTGACAAAGTTAGAATTTCACATACATATAATGTTTTTTGAATGGGGCTATTGGGGATTGAACCCACTCTATCACTGAGCTACAACCCTAGCCCTTAAGCTGATTTTAAAATTAACATGGAAAAGAACAATTGCAAGAAAAGCAAATAGGGGCTGGGGATGTGGCTCAAGCGGTAGCGCGCTCGCCTAGCATGCGTGCTGCCCGGGTTCGATCCTCAGCACCACATACCAACAAAGATGTTGTGTCCGCCGAGAACTAAGAAAAAATAAATAAATGTTAAAGCTCTCTCTCTCTCTCTCTCTGTCCCCCCCACCTCTGGGTAGAATCACAGCCTCTGGGATAAGAGTCCCTTGTGTTTCTCCTCTGCTGGCAAAGCAATAAACCTTAAAAAAAAAAAAAAAAAAAAAAAAAAGAAAAGCAAATAACTTTTGTTTTTTTTAAATACTGGAGATTGAACCCAGGGTTGCTCTACCTCTGAACTACATCCCCAGCCCTTTTTATTTTATTTTTGAGACAGGGTCTCACCAAGTTGCTGAGGGTTTCCCTAAATTACTGAAGCTGACCTTGAACTTGGTATCCTCCTGCCTCAGCCTCCCAAGTTGCTGAGATTACAGGGATGTGCCACCATTCCTGGCAAATTTCCTGTATTTTCTAAAGGCTAAATTTTGAATAAGCTCTATCTTACATAGCTTGAAATAACTGGATATGTGCTAACATCTTTTCAGAAATTATAACATAGTTGACTTTAGTGGTTTTACTTTTGGTTCAAGCAGTAACTAAAAGTCCCCAGGCAGATCACTCCAAATCATTTATCCTTGCCCCTTTGAAATTTGATTAAGGATCAAGAGGGATCTTTCCAGTTTGCTTCCAGACTGCTATATTATCTGGGGTGTGGACCTCATGAGCACAGATTCTGATTTGTGTTTCCTCCAACCCAGAGGTGATGGGAAGTATATACATATTTGGAAATAAGCAATAGCCCTCCCTTTGTTTTATTTATTTATTTATTTATTTATTTTTTAGAGGGAGAGAGAGAATTTTTTTAATATTTATTTTTTAGTTATCGGTGGACACAACATCTTCGTTTTGTATGTGGTGCTGAGGATCGAACCCGGGCGCACGCATGACAGGTGAGTGCGCTATGGCTTGAACCACATCCCCAGCCCAAAAGGCATGCATTGGCCGGGCCTCCCTTTGTTTTAATTCACTTGAATTTAAACCTTTGGTAGAAGGCTCTCCTGCCTTTCCCCTTCCTCAGTCATCAGGTATCTATTTTAAGAATAGCACTGGGGCCACAGGTCTGTGGTAAAGTGCTTGCATATCATGCACAAGGCCCTAGCTCAATCCTCACCCCCTAAGAAGGTATCTGTGTTTTCTTCCTGATTGTAATCCTCCTGCCTCAGCCTCCCGAGTCACTAGAATCACAAGCATGTAATACTGCTCCTGATTGTTGTGCTCAGATCATGAGGCTTTTTATTTTTTTTATTTTTTAGGTGGACACAATCTTTATTATTATTTTATAATGTGGTGCCGAGGACTAAACCCAGTACCTCACGCATGCTAGGCGATCGCTCTACTTCTGAGCCACAACCCCAGACCTCATGAGTCATTTTTAACAGAAAAAAAGTTTATCTTTGTTTTCTCTGCCCTTTTCTTTCTACATTTTTAATAGTCACCAGCAACATTTTTCTTGGGAAGAGTCCCATAAGACCAACAATATGATAGTCTTATACCTTGGATTGTATGAGTTCCCTGTTAGTGAATGCCTCTGATAAAACATTTCAATCTCTCAAAGTTTGGTTCCTTACTTGTGAAGGGAGAATGAATCAGGTGAGAAAATTAAAAAAAAAAAAAAAGTGACTAAGTACATGCTGAGATAAATTATATTAAATACTTTTATGGATATGAACATGAACATGAGTCTCAGCCTCAAAAAATCGACAACCTTATTTGGGAGATTTAAGTGTCCACGTGCACATAAATCCATAGATTATAGACCATAGTATTATAAACAAGATACAATATGCTCTATAGCCCTTTATAGGGGTTAATGCTCATTTGACTGAGGGTAGGTAGAAATTAGATAATAGCTTCATGCAGGAAGAGAGAGAATTTAAGCAAGTCTTTAAGAGAGGAAAGCAGGGCTGGGGATATAGCTCAGTTGGCAAAGTGCTTGCCTCGCATGCACAAGGCCCTGGGTTCAATCCCCAGCACCACAAAAAAAAAAAAAAAGAGGAAAGTAAGCAAAGATTCTGAGAAAGAAAACAAAGATGAGCAGAAGTAAGGATGGGAAAGCATCTGAAAAATGACAGTCACTTCGGGTTAAGTGGGTAAGAATAAAAGATAGTCCTGGGGACTGGGGCTGTAGCTCAGTGGTATAGTGTTTGTCTTGTATGTATGAAGCACTGGGTTAGATCCTCAGCACCAATAAAAATAAAGAAAAGATACTGTGTGTTCATCTACAACTAAAAAAAAAAAAAAAAAAAAAGATAAGCCCGACATGATGGAATGTGCCTATAGTCTCCTCTCAGCTCAGGAGGCTCAGGCAGTAGGATCCCTTGAGCCAGAACTTTCAGGCCAGTCTGGGCAATAAAACAAGACCCCATCTTAAAGAAATAAAACCTCCAAAAATATAAAGCTAAGAAAGTTGTTTTTGAGTTGGTAAACAAAAACCAGTCCTACAGAATTAACCTGGCAGTAGTGGGTACAAGTAAAAAGTAAAGGGCAGAAACAGGAGGCAAGTGGTCCAATAAGAGATTCTTACAACAGACCAGGTGACTGACAACAAGGGACTGAGTTAGGACAGTGACAGTGATGGTTAACAGAAAATGAATTAATCATCATCATTTTAAGCCAGGATTGTAGTTGCTACTAACCCCAATCCTTTAAGGCAAATAAGAGGTCATGTGAGGTGGTAATTATTAAAAAGGAGAGCTATTTCAAATGAGGTTTCCCTGAAACACAATTAAGAGCAATTGAACTCAGCCAGACCCTGCTGAGTTTTAGAACCATCATCACCTTGCATACCTTGTACTCTCACCAAGATACTCAGCCAACTGTGGAAAAGAAATATACACAGGAGACTCAAGAAACATCTTATTAATACAGTATTTATTTGTCTTCCCTCTGTCAAACCCTGAGCCAACCACTTTCCCCAGATTGCCTGAGGAAGTATAGGAAAAGGGACATACAGGGCAGACAAGACATGGGAGAAAGAATTCGAGGCGGAGACTGCTCCTTCACATGGCGAAGAGGATGAGAAAGGCCACCATCAGGCAAAAGAGCCCCATGGCCTCTGAGAAGGCAAAGCCCAAAATAGCGTAGGAGAAGAGCTGTTGCTTCAGAGAAGGGTTCCTGGGAGAAGGGGAGAAGAAAATACTGAATTTCTAGTACATACAAAGAAAAGGATAAACATCTAGGTAGGCTCAGGGAAAATTCTTTTTTTTTTTTTTGGTGGTGGTACTGGGCATTCTATCACCAAGGTACATCCTCAACCTTTTTTAAAATTTGGTTTTGAGACAGAGTTTCGCTAAGTTTCTGAGGCTGGCCTTGAATTTATAATCCTCCTCCCTAAACCACCTGAGCAGCTAGGATTACAGGCATGCACCATGAAGCCTGGCCTTTAAACTTATCTTATGCAAGAAGCCATTCAGATGACACCATTATGTCCAAATTCTTGCCCCGATTCACCAATGTCTCTGCAGGGACTAAATGAGGGGGAAGTGGAAAATCCAAAATCCTATAACACAACCCAGGTACCAACATTACCTTCTCCAGTGGATTACCCCTGTATCATTGTAACTTAAAAAGTTAAAATCCATGGCCCGAATAGGACAGAAAAGTATCCAGAGTGGTAAGGTCTTTCTAGAGCAGTATTTCAAACTTTAAGCAGCAGAACCACAATAAGAAACAAAAACCAAACTGAAGTAGTGCAAAAAAAAAAAAAAAAAAAAAAAGTGGGACAGTTTAAATGCTTGTCTGGTCTCCCCTTCATTCTTTAAGACAATCTGGGGCATCCTCAGGATCCCAGGGCTTTATAGACACAATTAGAAAAACACTGAGCCAGGGGACTGACTTCCTTCTTTCAATCCAAAATAGCCAGAAAATTTATATTTCTCTTACTCTTGAAACCTAGGGAAGTCTTAATGGGTAAAGCAACACCATCTTTTAACAGTATTATAGACACAGAAGCAGTTAGGCTTTCTGTTGAACACAAATCCTAAAAAATAACTTTATTTCCCCAAAGACATTAAGAGAACTTGCTGGTCTCTAAGGGATTAATTTAGTTATACCAGTGAGTTGTTTGGAGCTGGTAGGAATCAAATAGTCCCTAGTGTCAGGGACCAACAGGGCCAGCTGCAGAGGCAGTTTTCCCAGGAGTGAGGGGCGTGGGGATAGCAGTAAAGCCACTATGCTGAATGACTGAATGAGCTATAGACCAGGGATTGCAAACTTCTTCCATAAAGGACCAAATAGTAAATATTTAAGGCTTTGTGGGCCACATATGGTTCTGTTACCTTTTAATTTTTTTAAAAAAATTTTGATGCAAACATAGTAATTGTGCATATAAAAAAATATTTTTTAGTTGTACACAATATCTTTATTTTTACTCATTTATTTTTATGTGGTGCTGAGGATCGAACCCAGCGCCTCGCACATGCTAGGCGAGCACTCTACCGCTGGGCCTCAACCCCATCCCTAATAATTGTGCATATTTACGGAGTACAATATGATGTTTTGATACATATCAAATCAGAATAATTGGCATATCCAGTACCTTAAACATTTATCACTTCCCTATAGTAAGACCACTGAAAAATCTTTTCTTTTAGCTTAAAAACAAAAACTTTAAAAAAGTAAAAAATCATTCTTAACGCAACCATCGAAAACCAGACTGGTACAAATTTTGCCTTCAGGCCTTAATTTGCCAACCCCTGTTCTATACCAAAGATGTTCAACAGAACTTTCTTCAGTGATATAAATGTTCTTCTATATCTGCACTGTCAAATATGGTAGTGCCTACCTACATGTGGCTCCTGAACACTTGAAATATGCTGGTATGACCTGAGGAACTGAAATGTATTTTTTATATAGTGGCTGCTGTTTAGCATAGTACAACTCTAGACTACCTAATATTTCTGCCTAGAAGTTTGGCAAGCATATCAGAGACAATGGGCCCAACTTATCTTACCTGGCATAACCAATGATAAGGCTTCCAAATACAGTCCCAATCCCAGCCCCAGAGCCAGCCACCCCAACTGTGGCAGACCCAGCCCCAATGAACTTGGCTGCTGTGTCAATGTCCCTTGAAATGGTGCTGGTTTGGAAGCGAAGGGAAGGGATAAGTGAGGTCAGGGGAAATGGGACTGCCAAGCTGCTGAAGCTCTGTGAAGAAGAGATAGGAAGAAGGTAAAAGATTTTTTTGAAATCCCGTTTTTGCTTTGGAAACATTTTTTACCCTTTAAGCCCTCTATGATGCCAAATCCTACAGTCTCCCTGGAAAACTTCTGAAAATGCTGGCAAGCAGAGGTGAACTTCAAATGCCTTCAATATTTTAGAAGTGTAGGACAGAGACTCTGGCCTCTTCTTGGTAATGTGGGACCTAAAGTCAATTAGACTAGGCTAAGTAATAGCAGTTAGCAGTAGCACATATAGGCATGTACTGCCAGAAAAACCGAAACACAAAAACATACAAGGTATTACCTGTCTTCCACCTACACCTAAACCAATGGCCTTGATTCTTCCAGAATTTTATTCTGTGATGACTGTCCTCAGGACTCCCTCTACTGGTTCTGGCGGGTAACCTTCCATACCCTTTTACCCCCAAACCACAGTCCCAACTCCACCTGTTAAGGTACCTCATATGTCAGTGTCTCTGGTCGGTTCAGAACCACTGCAGACAGTGGTCGGCTCAGCAGATGAGAGGTGCTCCTGACCTAGTGGGAATGACACAAGGGCAGGAAGGTCAGGAAGGCTGTGGAGAGAACTTTCAGAGCCATACAAGTTATTACTTCATAGATAAAATCTTTTTTCTCTGGTGCCCCTTCCATTCTTTTCACAATTAGTCAGAATTTTGGATTACTCTTTGTCTTAGCAAATTCTGTCTGCTTTTTTGAGATAGGGTCTTGCTGTGTAGCTTGGGCTGGCCCTGAATTCCTCACCTCAAGCAGTGATCCTGATTCAGCCTCTCAAGCAGCTGGGACTAGAGATGCCCAGCTTTAGCAAACTGTACATTCCCCCATCACTGGTGTGGTGGCATCACCTATAATCCCACCAACTCCAGAGGCTGAGGCAAGAGAATTCCAAGACTGAGGCCAGTCCAGACAACTTCGTGGACCTTGTCTCAAGATGAAAAATAAAAAGGGCTGGGAATGTGGCTCAATGGAAGAGTACTCCTGGGCTGAATTCTTAGTACCACCAAACAGTAGGGGTAGACACATCACCATATCTCTTGTTCTTAGTCTTTAAGAAAGTCTACTTCCTTTTGGGCTAAAAGAGTTTTATTGTAAACCCTTGCTGTACCTTTTTACAGTCCTTAAGAACAAGAAAAAAATTAAGCCTTGGAATTATCTGATAATGGCCAGCCCACAAAAAGGAAGCCAAGGTTTGGGGCATCTTTCACATCCTCTGGAAAATAAACTCAAAAATCCACACTCAACATTTACCTCTTCCTGGTAGCCTTTACTAACTAACCCCAATATCTTCAAAACACACATAGTAAGTAACAGCTAGGTCTTTAAAGTCAGATAGATCTACACTCCAATTTTAACTCTTTTATCAGCTGTGCAATCTTGGGATCAGTCACTTAAATCTTTCTGTCTTCTTATCTATCAAGTGGGAACAATATCAGAGTTGATTTGAGGAATAAATTAGATGAAGTATACAAATTGGTAAATTTGATGCTAGGCACATGGGAAATAATAAATGGTGCCTACTAACAGCATTACTCCTTTTAACTTATGAGAAATGTCTCTCCCATTTTTTTTTTTTTTGGGTACTAAAAATTGAACCCAGGGGCACTTTACCACTGAGCTATATCCTCAGCCCTTTTTATTTTGAGACAGAGTCTCACTAAGTTGCTGTGGCTGGCCTTGAACTTATGGTCCTGCCTCAGCCTCCCACGCTGCTGGGATTTCAGATGTGTACCCCACCTTGATCTATCTAATTTTTATTTATTTACTTTTTTTGGTACCAGGTATTGAACCCAGGGGTGCTTATCCACTAAGCCACATCCCCATCCCTTTTTTAATAGTTTATTTAGAGACAGGGTCTCGATAAGTTTCTTAGGGCCTTGCTAAATTGCTGAGGCTGGCTTTGAACTTGTGATCCTCCTACTTCAGCCTCCAGAGCCACTGCACCCAGCCATCTAATTTTGCTTCTGAGCCAAATGCTTTTCCAATGTGTATTTAAACTTTTTTTAAAACCAAATTTCAGTTCCTAGAATGAACTCCTAGCTACAGTTCACTGAGAACCTATTCCCAATTCATACACAGGCCAAACTATGTATCAACTGTATGCTTACCACTTCTGGCTGGGCTCCAATGTACAGAAACATATAGTTTGATTAGGAATAACATGATCTTGGTTATGGATGTGTAAGAATTAGCTGGCCTCCAAAGAATATAGGATAGGGAAGTACCTTGGAAACAATTTACACTCTTTTGTCAGGCTACCAGAGCAAAGAGCCTTCCCTGCTCAAGAATCTCATTCACACCCCCCAAACCCAGCTGTGAAAAACAAGGTCTGACAAGAAAAGAAAAACTCTCCCAGAAAAAGCAGGTACTCACCAAGGAGTGGGTGGAGAGGAACCTGGAGCAGGCATACATTTTCAGGGGGTGAGGGGCCGTGGCAAGAAAGCTGGAATTACAGAAGCAGCATTATAAATACTGTCCTTGCTCACTAAATTTGCTCTGGAAAGCTTAACTGGCCCAGAGAGCAGAAAAATTGATCAGAAAAGATGGAATAAGAATCTTGATATTGTGTTTTCCTCCGGAAACTCCATAGAGCTTCCAAGATTTTCTTATCATCAAATGATGTTCTCTTGTTCTGAACAAATAAGTCACTTGGTTCTACTTTGATACCTATAACCCATTTCCACAGTCTTTTTAAATTTTCAGTGTTGGGGAATAAACCCAGGACCTCAATCATGCTAAGCAAGTGCTCTACCACTGAGACACATCCCAGCCCCTAAAGACTGGAGTCTTTGTACTCTTGACAGATACTTGTTGAAGGCCAAGACACTGGAAGGACTCCAACAATCTTTTTTTACTGAATTACTTAGCAGTACTTGACACTCAAAACACTTTTCCTATATTAACTAACAGCATGAGGCAGATCAATGAGAAACTCTAATAATCCTCAACAGCAATGACTGTTAAACTATTCATTTCACTATTATAGTATTAAATTTTGCATCCCCAAGATCTAAATAAGTCCTTACACCCTACAGGTGTCTAAATTGGTAGAGCTGAACTTACCAGAGAAGAGAGGGAAAGTTAAAGATATAAAGACAAGATTTCTCCAAGTGAAGTGAGAAGACACCAGAACCAGAATTATCTTGGGGTAGAGGTAGTATGTGTACTAAAAATATATATTCCTGGAGCTAGGCCTGGTGGCAAAAGCCTATAATTTTAGTTATCAGGAGGCTGAGACAGGGATTTAAGTTGGAGGGCAGCCTGACAATTTAGTCAGGCCTTTGTTTCTAAATAAATAAAAAAATTAAAGGCTTTTTGGGATATAGTTCAGGGGTATAGCCACTTTGAGTTCAATCCCCAATACCAAAACAAACAAACAACTAGGGTAGTGGTAGAACTAGGACTTGAGATCAAGCATTTTACTTTTGTTTGTTTTTTTGTGGTACTGGGAATTAAACCTAGGGTACTCTTCCAATGAGCCACATCTCTAACCTTTTTTTTTTTTTGGTACTGGGATTAAACCCAGGGGCACTTAACCACTGAGCCATATCCCCAGATCTTCTTATTTTTTATTTTGAAACAGCCTCACCAAATTGCTGAGGCTGGCTTTGAACTTGTGTTCCTTCTCCTTCAGCCTCCCAAGTTGCTGGGATTACAGGCATGCACCACCACGCCCAGCTCCCCAACTCTTTTAAATTTTTGAGACAGGGACTTACTAATTTGCCAAGTCAGCCTTGAACTTTTCTCTTTTAAGCAACACGGTTTCTAATGTGTCATAGGCTGAAACTCTGAAAATGTGTAGATCTATTAAACACAACTTCCTTAAATGAACTGGGTTCAAACTGCTCCAGGGTTTAAGACCTCAGAATCCAAAATCTTAGTTACTTTTAGGTTTATAGGTATCTTTAAGTCTTGTCCAGTCTAGAACTGATTTCTGCCTATATGCAACACAAACCCCAATTCTGCTGAACAGGTTTCCCTGGGTCAAAATCCAATACTTTTTTAGAGCTTTTAATAAAGGGAGAGCTGTTTTTCTCAAAGCACTTAAGCCTGAAAAGCATAATTTATAAGCTGAGTAGGGTGGCAAACCACATGCCTGTAATTCCAGAGGTTTTGGAGGCTGAGGCAGGAGGATCCTGAGTTCAAAGCCAGCTTCAGCAACTGAGTGAGGGCTAGAGATAAGTCTCAGTGGTTAAGCGACCTCCCCACCTTCCCCCAAAAAAATCATTTATAAAGTGGTACTGGCAGGTAATAGACTCACAACAAAGATGGCAATTAAAGGAAACTGCATCTGTTTTCTTTCTCTTTTTTGTTACCCAGGAGTGAATTCAGAAACACTTAACCACCGAGCCACATCCCCAAGATCCCCAGGATCTTGCTAAATTGCTCAGGGCCTTGCTAAATTTTTGAGGCTGGTCTAGAACTTGCAGTCCTTCTGCTTTAGCCTCCCCAGTTGCTGGGGTTACAGCTGTGTGCCACCATGCCAGCTGGAGCCTGCAATTGTTAGTCTCCACTTGGGCAGTGGTACTCTACAGAACCATGGCTTTTAAATCATCATGGGTTTCCTCCAGAGTTCTGAGTTACAGGAATGATAACTTAATCATTTCCTACCTTTAACATTCCTTTTTTTTGGGGGGGGGGGTCAGCGATTGAACCCAGGAGGGCTCAACCATCGAGTTACACCCCCAGCCCTTTTTTATTTAGAGACAGGGTCTTGCTTAATTGCTGAGGCTGGCTTTGAACTCCCAATCCTTCTGCCTCAGCATCCTGAGCTGCTGGGATTACAGCTCTTTTTAACTCTTGGCGAAATCTGCGAAGCTTAATAAAAAGTTGTAAAGCAAAGACTCGTGCAGGCACCACCAGCTGGGCCTTATGGCCCTGCTGTCTCTAACAGAAACTTCATTTCTAGCCTACTACTTGTGATTTTTCCAACTACATCAGAGTGCCAGGAAAGTAAAGGTACTGGGAGGCAACCGGTAACAGTACTCTTTTGTGCCCTGGCTCTTCCAAGACTGTTTGACAGGATAGGATGTTATGCTTGTTGGTAGTTTCTACCACGTTTATAGTTTATGTTTTTGTACCAGGGACTGAATGAATTCAAAGGCGCTTAACCACTGAGCTACATCCCCAGCCTATTTTTATATTTTATTTAAAGACAGAGTCTCATTAAGTTGCTGAGGTTGGTTTTGCACTTGCGATCCTCCTGCCTCAGCCTCCTGAGCTGCTGGGTTTGCAGGCGTGCGCCACCGCGCCCGGCTCAGTTCACTTTTTAAATTGAGGGTTTGGTGGCTTTGAACGATGTTCTATCGCCACTGCTGGAGCGCCTGAGGTCCTGGGGTTGAATTTGGAGATTTGGGGCAAGAATTAAGATGTGAGAAAGTAGGGAAAGAAAGGGCGCTATGACAACTTTGAAAGGGCAAGAAAGTGAGCTAAAAGCGTCTGTAAGTACTGGGTCGCGACAGATGAAAATCAGCATTACAGGGCTGGGGATGTGGCTCAAGTGGTAGCGCGCTCGCCCAGCATGCATGTGGCCTGGGTTCGATCCTCAGCACCACATACAAAACAAAGATGTTGTGTCTGCCGATAACTAAAAAAAAAACAAATAAATATTTTTAAAAAAAGGATAAGATGTCTCTTCAGGGAAAAAAAAAAAAAGAAAATCAGCATTACAGGATCTGATTTTTGCCAGCTCCAAAGCACCCTCCCCTAGGAAACACCCAAGATGGCGCCAAGCCCGCGCGGTTGGAGGTCACTAGCACGCGGAAGGGATAGCTTTCAGAAGCGGGGATAGCGGGAACCGAGGAGGGTGTAAGCACCGGGGTGGGAACAAGCAGGAAAAGGGCCGCACAGCATCCACGCGAGATGGTACCCTGCGCGCCTGCGCGGCGCAAAGAGGGCACGAGGCCCCAACGCCTTACCTGCTCCCAGTGCAGAGAAGACAGAGAGGGGCGGGGGGAGGGCGGGAATAGCGAAGGGAACACTTGGCGCATGCGTCGCCCGGGCCAACGAGTCGCTCCGCAGCGGATAGAGTGAATGCAATGTCGAGGGTCGCCTCAGGTTCTACAGCGCCCCCTGCCAGCTCTGAAGCGGCATCCGGCCAGAGGCTCCACCTGGTGTTCGAGAGGAGAAACTACAGGCGGAGCCGACCCTGTAGTTGGCGGACACAGGCCAACTTCACAGAGTAAGCAGATCCATAACATGGCCTGCCTTTGATCAGTACAGCGTTTGGGATCTTGGCCGCCAGTCTCCCTTCTGAGCATGCGCAACCCATTGGGGGAAAAGGCTTCAGATATTCAGTGTTAAATAGCATACAATAGTGATTGCGATTCAGTTACTGAAATGTTGCAGGAGGAAAATGAAGTCAAGGGATTCCAGCCTTCTGTTGCCCTGGGGCTCCTGGCATCATCAGATGGAAAACTGGTTAAAGGGGGGAATAGTCAGCAAAATGCCACAGCTGGTTCAGCTGGCTTTGCCTTTTCCCCTTTCCTACTCTGTTGATAAGCCATGAGAAAAACAGTATCAACAAGTCAGAAAATTAGGAGCTTAGTCCAAAATTCTCTTTCCTGGGGCAGATAAAGAATAACGATCACCTGTGTCCTGAGTTAAGGTACAAGGTCACTCTGGGCAAGCCCAGGTCTCTGCCCAGGTTTCACCTAGGCGAGATATGGGTTAAGCAGTACCCATGAGGCACTTTCCCGAAAGCCCACGACTTCCCTTCGGGGCCTCCCCCTGGTGGAAACGGTGGGGGCTTCTATGCCTATCCCCCAGACAGAACTTAACCAGCCCTTTGGAAGAGAAAGGCGCGAGGCCTATCCAGTTCCAAACCCCAGCCGTCCAGGCATCGTGCTCATTGAACGCAGCACGAGAAAGACGGGAAAAGCTCACCAAACCCCCATAAAAAAATAAAAAATAAAAAGAAAGCCGCGGCTGTAAATAAAACCAAATCCGCCACCCTCTGAGGGGCCGTTTGTCCTCCCCTCCTTGGCCCCGTCCTTGCCGCCGCCCCCTCCCGGCTCTCCGGCCCCGCGGCGCCCCGGCCCCGAGCTCCTCCATTTAATCGGATTTGGGAGAAGGGGAGGATAAATCACAGCAGCAGCTTTACGGTCCCGGAGGAGAGGCGAGCCGCAGCCAGGCACACCCCGGCCGGCGATAAAAACCGCCGCTGAAAGCCCACGGAGCAATTTCCCGGGACCCCGAGCGACGCCATTACAGGAATGTAATTTTGCCCGGATGAGGCCCCGAGTTTAATTATCCTCGCGGAGGAATTTCAATGCGGCCAATCCATCTTGCAGGCGGGCGGCAGAGGGATTTATATGGGCCCGTTATTTCACACCGATCCTCCATCTGCATTTTTATGGCCCTGAGCTCCTGAAAGGGAGGGGAAGGAGTGAAGAGAAATAGGAGAAGAAGAGGGTGGGGGACTTCCCGCCTTCCCTAAATCCAAGATTTCAACTCGATTAGGATTCTCAGAGGCTCCACTGAAATCCCCAAATCTCTCTCCAGTTCCAGTTATTGACTAGGGTAGGAGCGGAACTGAGATCTTTGGGAATCAATCAACAGGTATTTACCAAGTACTAAGTTGTGCCAGGCACTGTGCAGGATGCTGTGGGATAAAGGGAAGACAGGGGAGCAAGGATTTAGAAGTTTATACCCTGAAATCCACGGACACCCCTGCACCAGTCAAAACTGAATTTCATTTAGCGCTCAGTTCACAGCCTATGAGGCAGAAAGTCCACACTTCTTTGGAGCCACCGCCAAACGGTGGTTGCAGCTGTTTGATGCAACAATTTAGACAATCTCAATTATTGCCAACAATCCCAGAGACCAGAGGGTCTCTGAGTAAACTAAAGATAGCCCTTCTCAAAAGTTGTCACAGCCTGCAATGTTTGATACAGTGGTAGGCTCTGAATTGAGACAAACTTGAGTTGCCAAATCACTGTGTGACCTTGGGCAGATTATTCAACCCCTCTAAATCAATTTCTTCCTTTGTAAATTGGGAATAATTAGTGCTAACCCTGTAGCCAATATTGGGATAATGATATGCGTGAAGATTTTAGCTAGGTGCTTGGTACATAGTTTAATAATTGCTGTCATTTTCATCACCATCCCTATTATGGTTAGGAGCAATGCAATTCAATTCTGCACTGCTCTCTATTGCAGTCTCTAGAGACTAGGGTCCTTGTATGGTATCTCCTGAGAGAGAGACTACTGTCACAAAACTTTTACCCACATAAATCATGCAAAAGAAGTTATCTGACATATTAGTGGGTGGAGATCTTGGGGGAACCAGAAAATACTGGGGGCTTTTGCAACAAGGTTTAAAGCAAGACATTACATCAGTAGCAGAACAGTAGTTCTCACAGAAAAATAGTCTCACTGTTCTGTATGTAGTATGAAGCAGGAGTGAACTGAGAGAGAGAGAGAGAGAGAGAGAGAGAGAGAGAGAGAGAGAGAGAATGAGAATTAAAGAGATTAGCTGAAGGTTTAGGGATCTTGTTAACCATGAGCTTGTGTAAAGGTTCTTCCTTCACATCACTGACAGGTCCAGGAAGGAAAGGGTGTGGAGCCAGAACATCCTTTCCAATCAGTCCCTTTCTTTTCCTACCAGGCCATGTAACAAGGTTGGCCTGATTGGCCAGTTTTTCTAATGACTGCCAGTAGCAGACTCTGACTGGTTAGCAGCTTCCCTGCACTGTAGTGACGAAGAAATGAGATTGATCTTTTCTTTCCTTGGATTGGTTAACAACCCTCATGGGAGCCAGAGACTCATTTTAATTGTCTGGATAGGCTAGGAGGGAGGTTCAGCATCTTTCCTGTCGAAATTCCTAGTGTTCTTTTCCACAAAGGTCACCAAGAAAGAGTCTTGATTGGCTTGCACATTGTTGCCTTTGGATAGAAAGACAGTTTATAGAAAGAATCATGCAAGCACGCCACAGTTCAATTTGAAACCCCGGAGAAGATTCACAGGGAAAAACATAAAAGGGATTAGAAAAAGAGAGGGAGACTAAGATACAGAGAAACACAAAGGAAAAAAAAATGTTGGGTGGGGAGTGGGGGAAGAAGGAAGAAGGGGAAAGGGAAGATGTTAACCACAGGGTACAAAGTTTAGTTAGAGTGGAGGAATAAGTTTTAGCGGTCTATTGCACTACATTGTGGTCGCAGTTAATGTATATTTTAAGATTGCTAAAATAGTTTTTTTTGGGGGGGGTTTGTTTTTGGTTCTAGGGATTGGACCCAATAATGCTTAACCCCTAAGCCACATCTCTACCTCCACCCTCACCTCCGACCCCGCTTTTTTTTTTTTAAGTTTTGAGACAAGGCCTTACTAAGTTGCTGAGGCTGGCCTGGAACTTGGGATCTTTCTACCTCAGCTTCCTGAGCCTCTGGTACCACAGGTCTGCACCACTGCTTCCATCTCCTAAAATAAGTTTTTAATGTTTTTAACACACACACACACGCACATATACATTAAATCGGTGAGGTGATGATTATGTTAATTAGCTGGATCAAATCTTTCTATAATGTATTCATACATCAATACATTCATAACTGGATGTGTGGTGCACACCCTCTAATAATCCTGTACTCATAAGGCTGAGGCAGGAGGATTACAAATTCAAGGCCAGTGTGGGCAACTTAGTGAGACCATGCCTCAAAATAAAAAATAAAAAGGGCTGGGGATGTAGTTCAGTGGTAGAGCATCTCTGGTTTCAATCTCTAGTACCAGTACCAAAAAAAAAAAAAAAAAAAGAAAGAAAGAAAGAAAGAAATTGCATTGTATACCATAAATACATATAATTATGATTTGTCAATCAAAAATTTTTTAAAATTGCCAGAGAGAAAGAAGGGTTCAAATAGTATGTTTTGCATTCCAGATGGCTTATGATGAGGTTACTTTATGATATATTTTGCTAGATGAGCATGGGGCATGGAATGAACTGAACAGACATCTTTTTTTAAATTTAAAATTGTTTAGTTGTCAATGGATGTTTATTTTATTTATTTAATCGGTGCTGAGAATAGAACATGCCAGGCAAGCGCTCTACCACTGAGCCACAGTCCCAGCCACGCTGAACAGCTCTCTTGAAGGCTAGGAAGGAGACTAGGAATCTAATCCCAATTCTACTACTGTTTGAATAACTATACAAGTTACTTTATTTCTCAATATTCTAATTTCCTCATTTGGAAAAATCAGGGGGAGATGCAGGTGATCAGTGTGGTTCATTAACTTTTCAGGATTCTCTTGTCCAAGCTGAAGTGGTATCTTTACACTCCAATAAGGACTATTTTTAGATCTTGAACAACTCTATTTTGGAGGGACTTTTTTCCTTTTGTGCTGGAGGTTGAACCCAGGGCCTTGCATATGCTAAGTATGTGCTTCATCACAGAGCTACACCTGAAGCCCCTATTTGTTATTGTTAATTTCACTTTGGGGCTCTGATGGGCTGGTGGGGACTGAGTGATAGCTCTTCTACTTTCTCTTGCTAAATCAGTTCCTCAG